GGAAATAATTGATATACCCATTTATTCCTTTATTTATGATTTTAATTTCAAAGTAAAATATCCCACACTTTGAATGAATTGAATGATTTGCTCGAATTATGACAGCTTTATTATAATCATAATCTTTAGAAAAGTTTTTTTTTTAAAAAAGAAAATTAAAGTTAAGATATTATTCTTTAATTAAACCAAAACAATTAAACACTCAGTAAATTGGATGTTGATATGTTTTTCATGAGATTTCTCTTTTCTCATTTTTATCTTACCAGTATAATTCACTTTCAGCCCACTTGAATCTATGTTAATAGCTGGTGAATTATTTTCAATATCCCATGCAGTCGGTAAAACAATATCATTGAATCGAGTAGTTAATTCTAAACCTTCCATTGAGTAAAAATTCATTCAGGGCTTTTACGATTAGTAAATCGATTTTATACGTGAGCACAAGCTTTATTATCGAACACAAAAGTACTATTTATGCATATGCAGTATCCGTGTAGTACATCAGCGCTAGCCAAAGTGATTATCGATCGATAACTCATCAATATTAAAGGTTGGCAGAAGAAAGAGGCGACAAGTATCCTTAAGCTAAAATTAAATATAATGATAAGAAAATGTTATTTTTAAAATCTTCTGATTGTAAATACACATACTCATAATAAGAATTAAGGTTGGTTTCATTTGGTACAGTGTAACGATGATAAAGGTAAGTTAATATCATTTTAAATGCCATTGAATAAGACTGTTACCTATTCGAAATAGAAAAATGAAAAATTTCTAATATAATAAAAGCTTTACTATTTTTTAAGAATTTCTAATACAATAAAAGCTTTGAATTAAATGACCATTTATAAACACAAAACTGACTCTACAATATAAACCCTTTAAATGCTAGAAAATATTAAATTGATTTTGCACGTATTTTTCAATTGCATAACAAATTGAATTTCGACATCAAAAACTAATAATTTCGGCAAAATGAAATAATTAGTGTAATATTAAATATGCCTATAGAACTTATAAAAATACGACATAATGATAGTTTAAACATATCCGCGGACATTTGGAATTATTATTTAAAAATTTCAAATCTTTAACCATAAATAACTTTTGATTCGATGGTCCGTTTTACCATCAAAATGACCGCCTCAGTGAGACGATTCTAACGAGCATAAAATCATTAAATCCAATAATGGGATCCCGAGATCGTTAAGGTTTGTGTCATTTCAGGTGTATTAGGATTGGTTTAATCAATCCTAAAACACCCGAAGTGACACAAACCTTAACGATCTCGGGATCCCATTATTGGATTTTAACGATTCTAAGCTCGTTAGAATCGTCTCACTTAGGCGGTCATTTGATAGTAAATCATACAAAACCAGTGAATCAAAAGTTATTTATGGTTAAAGATTTTGAAATTTTTATATAGGTAATTCTAAATATCCGCGGATATGAGCTTTGATATTCGTTCCTCAAAATAATAATTGCAAGCGACATATTCTAGTTGTGCGATAAAATAAAATTCAGATGTCCATGTATTAGAATTAATATACAGAAATATCATGGTCATTCGAATGATTGAATAAACAAAATCGGCCTAGTATATAAGCTTACATACATAGAAGTTTTACTGCGGAAATTCGGATTGTTGAAATTTGGATTATTGTGAGTCAACCAGTAAGGTATTTCTTCAGAGAATATAATTCTTATCTAGCTACTATGACACATCAGTCTGGTACACATTTTCTGATGCATTTAGATACTTCACATATTCGTCACTCACGATAACTACTCAAATAGAATTAACGATTATAATAAAAATAATAGAAAGAAAAATATTATTATTAAAATTTAGTAAATTGAAGTATATAAACAGAAATTTTACTTATATAATAATTCCATTAACTAATTCACCCGCGGTGCAGCTCACTTTACCAACTTATTTCACCGGTAGTCTATTAGCCGACATCACATAGAGTTAGGATTAGCAGTGAATAGTTGCAAGTATTAAGCTTTGTCACTTGGAGTGATATCGACTAAAAAAGCCGTCGGTGAAATAATTGTCAGTGAAGTAAGGCAGAACCATTCGGCCGAATTACTTGTGATCCCATGGCATGTGACCACAATAAACCAATCGAGAAAGAGAGAAAATATAATATTGGAATAATTCCCAAGACCCTAATACTCGGATTAAACCTTTACCGAAACCTACGTCTTTAAGGCTTCGAATTTTGTCATAAAGTTGCTATCGTTGGATTTTCATCCAACTTAGACGTTACGTTATTTGGCCCCACTTATTCCTGAATTTGGACTGCCTTTTTCATCTGTCACTCACATTCTGTATAATAGCTAGCTGATTAAATTAAGTAAACTCGAATGAATAATTTCAAAACAAGATATATATATAAATATGTGCAGAGTTTACTAGATATATGATATCACGTAACAATAATATATTGCTAAAAATAAACTTATTAATTACTATTTTGATTATCTAACTGACTCGATTCTGATTTAAGATGTATCGGTTTTAGAGGATTGGCATGTCACACTTTAGTGGAATTAACCTCAAAGTATTATAAATCCTTAGCGAGAGCTACTTAAAAATTAAAGATATAAAAAAGTTGAGATCCAGCATAAGAATTGGACAATTAAAGCATAGATATTTGCATTTATGTTCGACGTTTTATAGTTATTGTATGGGCATGTAGTGAATAACCTAGTTAGTTACACACGGGATCATATTCCGTGCCGAAGGTGCGAGATTTAAATATGAACCTGTGTGTGTAACTGGGTTATTCAATATACCCATACAATAAATATATTATTGCACGGTGTCTGACGTAACAATCCCATGCCAATAAGTAAATGAAAAAAGCACGGGTTGTCACATAAGACCCGTGCAATAAATACATACATAATAAATTATCTCGCACTGTATGTATAGTGATAGTATTAAAAGAAAATTTAATAAGGAAAGCTGACTAAAGTCATTATATAAACTATAAATCAGTATTTGTACTATACTACACCATTAAATTCGTTTATCTTTAGTCCCATGACTCAACCCCTGATTTTTGATCCCGAGATCGATACTAAATAACAAATAAATAGTACCGATCTCATTGATTATAGTTTTTGTTCACTATTGAAGCTAAAGCTCTTCCCGATCGTAACACCGACTAATTGACTGTAACAAATTATCAGCTGATTTTTGCTTAGTGAGACCATGATTTCATTAAACAAAATTTACCCGGATGAGCGGGATCTTCCTGTATGAGATCTAAAAATGCAGATGTATCTGACATACGTAATAAAAAAATTTGTATTTTTAATATATGTGTATACTCACGTATATGCTTGCAGCATCGTCAACATAGTTGATATGAAAACAAATAGTTTTTATCCATCTGGCGCAGTGGTTGCGAATTGAACAAATTATATAGCTAGTATGTATTATATCAGTAATTATAATGAAAATAATATAACGACATTTTTGAATTATATATGCTTGGATTACTAAATTAATCCATATATTATATTGCGTTTATTTGAGAATTACGTACTATATGCGGTATGAAGTTTAGATAGTCTAATGCTTTAAAAAAATGCTAGTTTATAGTCGAACCATTGAAATAATCATAATTATTTAAAATCTTCTATTTACTGATTATTATTAAAAAAAAAGAAATATATAATTAACAGTTAGATATTGTCATTTGGTCTCATAAGTTTTGATTACGATAGCCACAGCATCAATTTCTTTGTTTAAACGGAGTAGATAATCTAGACCGCTTTTCCATAATGTATGGTATGACGAGTGTAACATAAATTCAAAAGATAAAAATACTCGTGCATTCTATGCAATAAGTCAATCAAAATTTGATCGTTATACTTCAATGGATTTCATTTTCTAGAATTGATTTGAATTCCCATATTGGGTTGACATTTTCAAATTGCCGGCAGTCACATACATGGACGTACATACTATATTTAACGATTATAACTTAGTTAATTCATATAAATTTTTAATTATAGATTTAATTACTTTAATTGTATGAGTCGCTTTTATCTTCTTGTAACTGCATATTAATTTCCATCCATAACATTTTCACTATTTAGTCCGGAATTCTTGGCATATAATTCTTACAGACCAATTATATGAACTCATTAGATTAACTTAATTTCAGAAATTTATAATATGTTTCATGTGTGACCATTTCATAAAATACTCATATAATACCTTAAAAATACTTAAAATTTTTTGTGATTTATAAACAAAGATTCCGAGACATTTTTTGTCATCTCACAATTTCAATTACGTAATACCTCAAATTGTACGATGTTATCATGATGCGTAACACGCGCAGCAATACATACATACTTTATTGTACTCTGCATAATTGATCTAGGTTTGGCGCTAATCCATATAAATACAAAGTCGTAAGGGAAATAAATGTTATCGTGTAACCTTTTGAAAATCTGCGTAATGCACACAGGCTTTTTGTCTTCAACTCCGTTGTGTTACAACTATTGATAACAGAACAAGTATTTTTTGACAGCGGTTTTTTTTTTCGTTACTAAGTATTAAATTTATTAAATTATCATTCTAAATTATACAAACTACAAAAAAAAACATTTCAACCTTATTGTAAATATACATATTTATTTTTTTTTTTCAAATAAAACATATAACTTGAAAAAATATCATGGAAGACAACAGATCCGAAGGCATTAGTTTCTATGATTTTAATTTCAATGAAATATTGCAAAATTCCAAACAATTTTACACAATTAAATCAAACACCAATATTACTTACCTTAAAAATAATGATGGTTGTATATTAAATTTATTTAATCATTTTTTTAAATTATTTAATAATCATCACGCTCCAGTTTATGTGGTTAATATGCTTAAGCAATATTTTAAGGATAATAACTTAAACCCTGCAGACATTTTTCAAAAATTAATCAATCATCAATGTAATTCTTTTTTTACAAGTATGATTGGTTACTTTGGACAATTCGGTATTGGTACTGATGTTAATTATCAATTAGCTATTTCTTCTTATATTTATGCTTCAAAATCTATTTTAAATATTTCAAATAACGATAATGATGATTTATCATTGTTTAATAATTTAGTTAAAAACAATCGTCTCTTAGGTCAAATTTCTTTAGCTTATTTATATTTTAGTGGTATTGTTGTTGAAGAAAATATTAGGTTAGCTTTTTTATTATATAACGATGCTGCTATAAATAATTATGGTTTAGCTCAATATTTTGTTGGTCAATGTTTTGAATACGGTCATGGTGTTAAAAAAAACTTTTTAAAAGCTTTTGAATGGTATAAAAAATCTGCTGAAAATGGATCTACTTTTGGTCAATTTGGTCTTGGAAGATGTTATCAATTTAGCATAGGTATTTCTAAAGATGAAAAGGAAGCTTTTAGTTGGTATTTAAAATCTGCTGATGGTGGAAATTTTAGTGGAAAAAATAATCTTGGTTATTGTTATGAAAATGGTATAGGTGTTACTAAAAGTGAAACGAAAGCTCTTGAATGGTATTTGAAATCTGCTGATGCTGATAATACTAATGGTCAAAATAATTTTTTGAGATGTTATCAAAATGGTATAGGAATTGATAAAGATGAAAATTTGGCTCTTACTTGGTATTTAAAATCGGCTGAAAATAATGATTTACTTGCTCAAAATAATCTTGGTTGGTGCTATCAATATGGTATAGGTATTACTAAAGACGTAAAGAAAGCAATTAAATGGTATTCAAAATCTGTCGATGGTGATAATTCTAGTGGTCAATTAAACCTTGGTTATTGCTATCAAACTGGCGTGGGCATTCAAAAAGATGAAAAAAAGGCATTTGAATTATATTTAAAATCTGCTGAAAGTGGTAATTCTTATGGCCAAATTTATCTTGGTTCATGTTACAAAGACGGCACTGGCATCGATAAAGATGAAAAGAAGGCTTTTGAATGGTATTTTAAATCGGCTAAGTCTGGTAATTCTAGTGGTCAAAATAATCTTGGCTGGTGTTATAAAAATGGTGTAGGAATTTCTAAAGATGAGAAAAAAGCTTATGAATGGTTTTTAAAATCTGCAAAAGGTGGTAATTCTAATGGACAAGGACATCTTGGGTGGTGTTATTTAAGCGGAATTGGTGTGGATATAGATGAAGAAGAAGCTTTTAAATGGTTTGAAAAATCTTCGGACGGTGAAATAATTAATTTAGCATTTAACTAAATATTATTTAGTTTTATACATTCAAAGTGGAACTAACAATTTGATTTTATCTACAACATATACCCGTTTTAAGAACTTTTTAAAATTATGTCAAAAGCATTCAGATGTATCTACTCAAATGTATCTACTGTATTCTGCTAACGTCTCCAAATTTATTTTTAAAATAGTCCAAATTGCTCAATCACGTGTGCTTACTGTAATTGCTATCGTGAAGCAACGCCCTGGGTTTCACAGTTTGCATTTTTTGAACAATAAAAACTTTCTATTAGCACGTTAGTGTATAAAACACTACTGCACTATAAGAGTTTTAACGAAAAAAAATATATTTGCAATCTAAATTTATATCGATTAATTTTCTTTATAAATTATCTTGATTTAGTGTAAGACGGAGATGGTAAATGTAAATAACCTGGTTATTTTATCAAAATTTAATAACACCAAGTCATAAAATAATGACCTGTCATTTGGGTTATTTGCGCATAAAATCATTTTATTGGTTTGATAATTAAAAAAAGTTATTAGATTTCTAGTCGATAATTGTAGCTCCATACACAGTATAAGTTAAAGCTTTACTAAGCTAGTCGTTATTTACAGTATGTCTTAAGTAAAATTGTTCGGAATAGCGAATTGCATATATTTTAAAAGCTTCATGTAATTCGAATAACTCTATTAATTCACTTCCGCATATCGCATTTAAATAAAAAAATTCTTAATCTTCCATAAATGCGAAAGTGAATTAATAAAAGTTATTCAAATTACATGAAACTTTTGGAGTATATGCATTTTGTTATTTTGAAGTTTAAGGCATAAATATTGACTAGCTTAATAAAGTTTGATTTTTAAAAGAGTTACAGTTATTAATTATGTTTATTATCATATAAAAACTTACATTTATCCTATAACCAATTTACCGTATAGGCGCGTAACAACGCGCAGATGCGCGTTATTTTGAAACCATGCACGTTATTTCGGAACGCGCATGCGCGATAATTCGAATCATTATCCTAATTTTGAAGAAAAAAAGTTACAACTATTAAAACTTTCCTGAAATATGTATATTGGGCGCATTATTTCGGGACGCGCATGGACGTTATTTTAAGTCAAATACCGTAATTTGCGGCAAATAGTACCCGGGTCTCTTACATTCCTAGGCCTTAAAAACTGATTAGTACCCCTGGGACTGTCAATTGACTATATAATTTGACTAAATTGACGCTAAATTGACGGTGGGCGGGTACTTTAACACAGTAATGGCAAATGACAAGGTCATAAAATTTTTTATGAAAATGACCATAAATGACATGCCATTTTAAAATGACAATGTCATTTATTATAAAAAAATTTTATACAAAACCATGGCAAAATGACAAGTCATAAAAAATATTTTTATAAATGACATTAAAATGACAAATAAATGACAATAATATTAATACTAAATATCTTCCTAAGACCAAACTTCCTTGCAAAGAACAATTCATAAATAATTCTTAAACTACTTAATTATACTAGCGATTTTGTAGCATCTGCAGGCTGGCTGATAGTCAGAAGTTTTGCAGTCAAGCTAGCAACTGTTACAACCTGTGGGAGAGCTTATAGGGTCTTGGACCAATTTAACTTTGATCATGATTAAAGTTAAATTGTTTAAATCGATAAATTTACACACATAATTACAAGTTAAAGTTTCTCTTTATTTACATAAATCAGTACATCGAATTAACATAATACTAAATACTATCAACAATTGTTAATAATCATTCTAACAACTGTTCTTACAACCATTCTTACAACAGTTATTCCCAATTAAAATGTTGAATTCTGACCCTTAAAGCTAACTATAAATATCTAGTAGAATAACTGTTTAACAACAACTATAAATAGCTAGAATAATAATTATCTAATACCAACTCATAAAGTGCTATTAGAATGATTATTTAATACTAACTATAAAGAGCTGTTAAAAAATAATTATTTAATATTTGGCATTCATGGTATGCCTGATGATTAGCTAAAATTCACATTGCTGGTCTATAAAATTTATATAAACTATAAATGTCAAGTATAGTCATAAAAAAATAAATAATATTTTATGACAAAAATAACTTGTTATATGACAATTGTTATTTATTTTTAAATGACAATATGCCATTACTGGTACTATTTGCTGAAAATTACAGTATGCGATTTTTAAATATAGAATTTTCAAAATAGCATTCATGATTAAAAAGTGTTAAAACATTAATTAATGTATGTTAATGACCTTCTTATTTATTTAAACGTTCAAAATGATCAATGATCAGTTATTTGTTATTTGAGTATCAGGTTATTTCAAATCATTTACTATCTCTGGTAATTTTAGATAGCATTCTTACAAAAAATTGTTCACCCTTTGTAATCTCAACCAATCAAATTTTAAGATCAGGTATAGTGTGATAATCAAAACAAATGTGTTTTGTTTCTAAAAAGCTGCATGTAAAACTAAACTGTGTTATAGTTAGGGTTAGAGTGAGAACAATGTAGAGTTAGAATTAAGCCAATTAGTAAAATTACAAGGAATATTTTTTTGTAAAAAAGTGGCATTGCTTTGATTTTTACATTACACCTAATCCTGAAATTTGTTTGGTCAATTTTACAGGAAATAAACAATAATTTTTGGGACAGTTAGGGCTAGGGCTGATAACTTTCTGTTTTGGTTAAGACCAAATTCTGGTTTTGGTTAAGAAAAATTTTGTTATATGTTGTTTTTTTGATGTATTCTGTGAAATTCTATGATGAATAAATTAATTTCTGTATAATTCTGTGGTAATTAGTTTGATTCTGTGATTAAAAATTTTAAATACAAATGTGCAAAATTTTATAACTTCCCAACAAACATGTTTGTAATTTACATTTTTAGGATTTCCTGGTACCCAATTTGACAAATCTTGTAATATTATAGAATTCTATGACTACTTTTTTAGATTTTTGCAGCATTCTGTGATGATAAAGGTGATCTCTTGGTTAGCTATTTTTAAGGGCTATTTTCTGTAATTGCAGTAAATCATTAGCTCTGGCTAGAGAGTTTATATTTGATATCTACAATAATTGCCCCCTCCGTGATTTTTGACCAATCAAATTTTAAGATTAGAAGTAACATAACAATCAAAGTGAACCTAATTTTTTACAAATTTTAATTAAGAAACCACTCCTGTGCCCTAATTAAAAATGCTCCTCATGAAATTTTACTAATAGAAACTTCTATTATCCAAACTTTGACTCTAAAACAAACCAGACTACAATACTGTTTTATTCTTAGTAAAATTATAGGAAGAGAACAATTTTGTGGGTGCACTACCTAAGATTTAAAATGTATAACACTACATTAGTATATTTTAAAAAGTTTTCTTAAAAAATAAAATGTTAAATATAACTTAACTGAGATTAACGTTATTATTATAAATAATTTATCTAAACCTTTTTGTAAATTTAAAAATTTTTATAAACCATATAATAACACACATGGGCATTATTTCAAAACATCTATTTTTGAATTTTGTTTTTTTAACTCAAAATAATGCCTAAAATAAAGTGCTCCATTAAATATACCATATTACATATTTTGATCGAATTTTTCTGGTTAAGTTCATTAATAAAAGTAGGGCTTCCTTTTGTAATTCAAATTTGTTAAAATAATTTGAATTACCATGCAGAGTCTCGAAATAAGCACGAAATAATGCTTATTTGTATGTTAATTAATTAGTAGTGTTATTTAGAACACTATATAGATCATTTAATAACTCCAAATTTATATTTTTTATTATTTTTAATATATACTACATAGTTATTATTTTGGTCATTATTTTTTTTTTCATTTTTTTTGAAAAAATTTACAATAAAAAAGTTTAAATAAGTTTTAAAGGTAAGATAAAAATTTATTATTTTATTTAAATCTGATTCATTTTAATTTTAATCTTATGACAATTAATATAAAATATTTACTAGCTTATAAATTAGAATTAATTTAAAATTAACTGGTGGAGAAATTCACCAGCTTAAGAATTTTTAGGGTTTGGGTTAGAGTATTAAGAATTATTTTTTTATATATAAAATAATATAGAACTAATATAAAGTTCTGATCTTAGTTCTTATAAAATTTTTAGGGGTTCTGAACATTTTTACTTATCCTGTTTACTTAGTACATTTTTTGAGATACAGTACTTCTAGTGAATTTTACCTCTGTTGAGTATTAAAATTAGAGATATAAACCAATTAATGTTTAACTGGCTAACCAATTTGAATTAGGTATATATAGTTAAACAGCTGAAAATTATAATTAACCAGTTAATTTAATATTATATAACAAGATATAAAATTTCAAAAATAGAACAAAACAAGATAAAATTATGCATTATTTACTAATTTATTTTATTGTTATACTTTACCAATGAGGTTTAAATCTTTGTTTGTATATACTTCTATTAAACAAGTTTGTATAAATCAACTATTAAGATCATGTTCCGGGTTAATTAAGCTTTATGTAAATAAATCATTTATTCTAAATCTGAAAATTTGCAAAACCAATATCTAATTCAGGGGTTTGTTAAAGCCAGATTTATTTACATAATGATCTACAAATTGTATAAATTGCATTCTTGATATCTTAATAAAGCAAATAACCCTAACTGTATCAAAAAAATTAACCATAAATGAATCTGGCTTTAATGTTCTCCTTGATTATAAAATTATTCCAACCCAACTCGATTTGGTTATTAGAAGCACTAGTTGTACATATTTATGCCATGGCAGTCATAGCACAATTTATGTATATACCTGATAATAAAAATTTATTAGTTAATCCTGACTAACTATTAAATCAAATAGGTAATTATATTCAGCTAATTAACATTGGCTATGACATATATATTATGATTAATGCTAATTGACTAGAAATAAAATATGACATAACCAGTTGTAATCGATTAACTTTGAACAGCTCAGTTTGATTAACCAATTGACATTTTTTTTTCAGTTTATATCTCTAATTAAAATTATCCTAATATAATTAGAGATTTGGTTCAATGAATTAAATATTTGAATGTTTTAATATCTGAATATATAATTATTTCACTAAATAGAATGTTCAAATATAAAAATTTTTACCAAATAATTTATTGAATATTCAATAAATATATGGGGTCTTTGCCTTGAAAATGACCTTATGGTACATAATACTATAAGGTTATTTTCAAGACAAAGACTAGGGATGAGTTCAGTCAGTTATGGTCAGTCATTATCAGTTATTAACGGTCAACAGTTGACTATGGTTTTTTATATACAGTTAAATAACTGGTTATAAATGATTAATTATTTAATCATTATTTGGATTATTGCTCTGCAAACCCTTCTTTCACTTCTAATAAAGTTGTA